GTCCATGCTCTTAAGGAGGCTATATAAAATACTTTGTTTTGCTTTTGTTTCTAGGCAGCATCAGTCAGACTTAGGCCAGGTGGCATCTTCTTCTCTGTATCAGGAGTGCATAGAGGCTTTCCATAACTACCTGGAAATTCTGTCATGAAAGAAGGGCCACATAAAAGCATAATTCAAAAAGCAGGGTATTTATTACAGCTCTTCGTGAACTTATGACTGGCTATGTGCAATAGTAGGTGGGAGTATGTAGAAATTATGCAAAATAGCCTCACAACACAGCTCATGTTATATTCAAGCTAAACTCAGGTGCTACTTGGAAATGTTCTGGATATGCAGTTGTTTTTCTCCCTACCTTATCTTTTATGCTTAGATAGTTCACATTTCAACATTTTGTTGTCATTAGCAACATCAAAGTCTATGAAGTTCTTTGGTGGTTTGATATTGCTCTAGTCACTAGTCGTTTGAAGAATACCCATAGATCTTCAGAATTCCTTAATGTGGCCCAAAGCTATTCTATTGTACTGAACTGCTTCCAAACGTTGCAAGAGATTTTAATATAAATTTGATTTTAAGTTATTATCTTAGTTTCTCTGAAGGGTCCCTGAAACTGTTTTCAAGGAAAATTTTGCAATCTAATGGACCAAGGGTAAATCAGATTGCCTGTCACCCTTTCTTACCTTTGAGAAACAAATAAATGAGAAATTATATGTATTTTGCTTGCTTAATCGTTCATGGTAGTTGCTTTGATTAAAGCACTAGAACTTTCTCACAATTTCAAAATATGTTTTCCTCCCCCCATTCCTCCTCCAGCACCACCACATCCATGGTTTAAATAAATGTTTTTGTTACCAGAATGGTCAACATCTTAACAAAGTGGTCCTCAAAGTGTCCTTTTGAATTTTATGTCTGAAAGGATTCCTGAGTACATCTATTCATTCATGCAACAAACATTTACTGCATATCCTCCTATTACTTTGCCAGCCCCATGCCAGTTCTTTCAGTGATTGGAAGACATGGTCTCTCCTCTCACAGAGCTCATGGTCTGTGTGTTCCAGTTGATGGTAGTAAACATAAGGTAGGAATTTCAAAGGTTTAAGAAAATACTACATCATATACCACATCTGGCTAAGTTATCTTTTAGAATTCTCGAGTTAAATGATGCTCTAAAGTTCTAATCTAGTGCTCTCATTTTCCAGGTGATGAGAAATCACGAACCAAAGATGTACGTGACTCATTTGTAAGAGAGTGACAAGTAGCACCAAACAAGAAAGAGCCCAGGGTTCCTTGTGGTCACTGCCATAAACAAACTTTAGTGTGCTTTAGAATCAGGCCCTGAGTCAGTAATACAGACTTTTTGTTATGTATCAAACATTTCAGGAATATCTTTGCTTTAAAAAGGAGAAACTCATCTATAGTAATTTCTTCTCTTTAGTTCATGCCATTCCATATGTATTTACCCATAAACACAAAATTCAGGTTATCGTTTTTTCAGATGAAGACATTGCTAAGATTTGCAGTTATTTTAATTTAAACTGTGTCCCCTTTTCAAGTGATTGACAGGTCAGTGATGAATTTCTAGATATGAAAACTCCAGGGTAGAGGAACAGATCTCAGAATCCACAGGAGAGGACGTAAATGCTAATTACACATTGACTTTAATCCCTGGTTTGTTATAGCTACCTGCAGGTGTGTATCTTGGCTGTGGGCTATTCTCAGGGCCTCATTTGTATTTGAGATTTTCTTTAATAATGTTGCCTTCACAAAGAGCTCTTTAATCTTTGACTTATTTGCAGTTCTCTTTCTCTAGATATAGGAAACAGTTAATTGGCAAAGTATATACTTGTAGTTTCTTTTGGTTATTGATGATTTTTTGTCAGCCCATTGATTTCCCTGAAGAACAGTTTTGTGGTAGCACCTCAGTTTGCCCTTCTGGCCTGCAAGATGCCAAGGGTTTCACTTTTGTTTATTATTGCTCTCCCCTAACCCCCATTACCCATGTGGCCTCCTTTGTGAATCAGCCTGCTCTCTAGATAGAGGTCTAATGTTCTGTGCTAAAGAGCGAAGAGCTGCTGTCCCAGCTCTGTGTGCTGAGGTGGAGGCTCAGCGTTGGAAGGTGCAAGGTAACCTTGAGATTCACTTAGTTTATTTTTAAGCAGTGATGATTCCCCCGTCCCCTCCCTGTAATAGAATTGAGGGCTTGAGCTTGTTAGATGGATTGAGTGAAACACAAACATATGTAGACCTTTTTTCTCATCTCCACATATTTATATTAACTTTCACTGCATGCGCCAAATTGGACCACACCCTGTGGCTATGTCCTATTTAAAACTGGCCCTGAGGTATTTTACATTCCATGGTGTGGCCACCCTTGAGGTTTAGCTTCTGTACACTTGTGAGTTCCTGTGTGATTTTTGCCATGACTCTAGATATCCCATTGCTTTCCTGGCCCTCTTCCTGATTCTGTAGGTTAGTTGTAGGGCCTTGTCTGAGGAGAGCTCCAGGTTGTATCAACTTAGAGAACATCCAGAGTACTTTTCCCCTCCCAGGGATCTGAATCCCCCAAGCCTATCTGTGTGCAGCCCTCTCGTTCCTTGGCTTGCCTTTGGCCTGTGTTAACTCTGGCTGGTTGCATGCAGGGAAATTATTAAAAACCTGCTTGATCGATGTATTGGTCGTTCATTCCCATGTCTGATCATCTTCTTCACCTTTACGCATCTCCTTAGTTTTAGGGAAATTAAGACCTAGCAATAATTTCAATCTAGATATCTAATTGTAGACATCATCTTTATATCTTCTTATTTTCTGTGTTCTGTTATGAAGTAACAAAGATTTATGTTAACTTCAACCCTTAAAATTGGCTTACTCTCCAATATGGCTCCTTTTTATTGCTTCTAAAGCATGATTCAATGGAGTGTTCAAATGACTGATCTGACAGTTGGCATTTTGAGGCAGCTGTCCTTTTCCAAACTTCAGTGCTCATTTTTAAAATGAGTTTTTGAAGAATAGACAATTTGAAAGGATTTTAATGGTGCTCACCAGCACTGTTTCTGAGCTTAATGCTTATGCATTATGCCATCTTTAAGCTGATCAGTGAGAACTGAAGATGTGTTTACAAGTAGGGTCTGGACAGTAGGGGTGGCTTCAGGCTGCTTGATCCAATGAATCTCTTCAGTGTAAGCATACACCTTCATTCTATAAAGGTGTATCCTACATGTTTGCTAATGGATACGACATACTTGTTTCTTTTGACACATAAACATGTTTATCTTAAAAGATTTCATAAAGAAAGTGTTGCTTCATGTGTCCACATCCATTTATTTAATATATATTAGGGTTAAACTGTTTTTTTCATTTCATGTTCTTAGCTTCCTATCTGTATACACATCCTTTGTTAATTCAAAACCTAAAGATTCTTCTGGTCTGTTTTATCCTTGCTTTTTTGTTTGTTTCAAAACTTACTAACTCCAATTGTGCTGGTATTGGGTCTGGTTAGGTGTGTAGTTTTGATTTACATACTGTGAAACCAATTCTGAGTATTTTTGTGATTGTTATCTTGTTTGTTCTTCTTGATAGTTTTTAACCTGGTCCTTGAGAAGCTATGACAGACTGAAATTACATGGAGTTTTTCTGTGAAGGCAGTTCATATTTTTAAAAACAGGTTTTGAAGTAGTCTGACCCAGAAAAGGTTAAAGAACTCGCTTACCCCATAATGTCTAGCAGTCCTGCAGGAATGTTGCAAACCTCTTCTTTGTCAGGTAGAATTTCTGTGGGGCCTTATGTGTTCAGCCATTTGTCTTTCTCTTTTGGTTATCAGCTTTTTTCTTTCTTTATTTAGGTTCATAGCAAAACTGAGCAGAAAGTATAGAGATTTCCTGTATAACCCTTGCCCCCACACTGGTACAATGTCCCATAACAGAGTGATACATTTGTTACAATTGATGAGCCTACATTGACACATCATTATCACCGAAAATCCATATGGTCCACACTTGGTGTTGTACCTTCTGTGGGTTTTTACAAACGTATAATGACACGTATCCATTACTGTAGTATCATACTGAATAGTTTCACTGCCCTAAAAATCCCCTGTGCTCTGCCCATTCACCCTCCCTGTCCCCAAACCCTGGCAACTACTCATCTTTTTACTGTCTCCATAGTGTTGCCTTTTGTAGAATGTCATGTAGTTGGAATTATACAGTACAAAACCTTTTCAGATTGGCTTCTTTCACTTAGTACGGTGCATCTAAGTTCCTTCCATGTCTTTTCATGGCTTGATAGCTCATTTCTTTTTAAGTGCTGAATAATATTCCGTTGTCTGGGTGTACCACAGCTTATTTGTCCATTCACCTACTGAAGGACATCTTGGTTACTTCCATGTTTTGGCCATTATGAACAATGCTGTTATTAACATTCATGGGTAGGTTTTGTGTAGATGTAAGTTTTCAACTCCTTCAGGTAAATTTCAAAGAGCTGTATTCCTGGATTGAATGGTAAGTGTATGTTTATCTTCCAAAGTAGCTGTACTATTTTGCATTCCCACCAACAATAAATGAGAGTTCCTGTTGCTCCATACCATTGCCACTGTTGTCAGTGTTCTGGTTTTTCACGATTGTAATAGGCATGTAGTTGTATTTCATTGTTATTTAAATTGGCAATCCCCTAACAGCATATGATATGGAGCATCTTTTTGTGTGCTTGTTTGATATCTGTGTGTCTCCTTTTGTGAGCTATTCAAGTTTTTTGCATTTTTTAACCAGGTTGTTTATATTCTTATTGGTGAGTTTTAAGAGTTCTTTGTATATTTTGGGTAACTGTCCTGTATCAGATATGTCTTTTGCAAATTTTTTTCTCAGCTATCTTTTTATTGTTTTTTAAAATCTTAGACCCAAAAAATCAAACTGTGATTGAATTGGTCTTCATGGTTGTGCAGGCATAGGTAGCTGCTAGTGTGCTGTGTTGCATACTCTCCACTCTTAACTCCCTTGATTCTTTATTTCTAGGTCAATGTGACGGTGGACTACATTAGACCAGCCAGCCCAGCCACTGAGACTGTGCCTGCCTTTTCAGAGCGTACCTGTGCTACTGTTACCATTGGAGGAATGTAAGTATTCTGGAAGACAGGGACTCAGCTGTCATCTTAAGTAGATAAGAGTTCTCTGCTCATTCAGTCTCTCCTTTCTCTCACTTTTCTTTGCTTTTTCTCCATCTTTAATCCAGTGGTTTATAATTATGTGCCTGTGTAGCACTTTATATTTGTAGAGTACTTTATAATCACTCATTAGCTAATCATATACTTTCATTATTGTTGTCATTTAAGATTTATTGGGCTCTGTGCGCCTGGCACTATAGGGTACACATTATCACTGTTAATGTCATTTTTTGAGAATTAAGCAGGCCCAAGAAGTGTTTCCAAAATTAGAAAAAGAGATCTCTGTATTTGGTTTAGGAAGTTCAGTTGTAGACCCACAAAAAGAAGAGGGCAGAAAAAGAGGTTAATTTGACATTTTCTTTGTGTAGAGGTATATAATCAATAGATGATGGGGTCTTCTTATTCTACTATACTGGCTGTATCCTGGTTATAGTCCAAGGTTTCTTGGCAGCCTGGTTGATGAACAGAGTCTTTCAAGAGAGATATCTGATAGGGGAAGAAGGAAACCTGCTAGGCCATGCTTCCACAATAAATATTAAAACAATCAGTGGGTCCCCAGTAGCAATTCTTACTTTGCATAAACTATACCAGCGTGGTAATTGTTTTCTTTTCTATTTAACAGTCTTAAATGCTGTTTGTTACCAAACTGGTATTTTTCTTTTATTTTAAGGGGGCATAGTGGAGGGGAAGAAAAGAATAGGTTTCTCATAAAAACAGGGATTGTCTTATTGAAAGTACAATGAACACTGTTAGGAGAAATACCTCTAAGTTACAGCATGGCTCTGAAAGGAATAAGGATCTTATAGAAATTTAGCTTCTAGAAACTCTTCTATCAGACAGAAGCCTCTTTCCCCTCATTCTTGCTTTCACATTTGGAAATGACTATTTTTAGCCACTGTTTACCACTCCTTTATTTATTAACGTTGTTAATGTTCACACAATTGGAGGTTTCATCTTTACCAGGAGGAGCTCAATACAGGCAGGTGTTTGATGTCATTACCTTCACGCCGTCACAGGTGTCAGGTTTTGTTAGAAGTAGGTTCTTGACAAATCAGATATTTTCGAAATGGGCAAAACTAGGACATATTTTGTTCATTCTTCTGTGTAACTTGTAATAATGATTTATTATCAATTTATCACCACTTCTTAGGAGCTAGATGCATGCTCCCTTACTGTGGAGAGCTGGAATATTAGTATTTCCACACATTAACATTTTTACTATCACAAACAAGGAGGTGTTTCCATGGATAACTGCTGCTGCTCTCCACAAACTTTTTGAGGTACACTTGTAAAAACACACATCTTTATTTTTGGCAGACAGCCTCCACCAATGTTTATCTGACACCTATTAGAGTAGATTATTTCATTTAGTTGCTGCTGAGGTACATTTTTAAAACAAGTTTATACTCCCTTAAAATGAGATATTTAGGGAGTGATTTTTTATTTTAGGACTGTTTGAAACAGCTGACTTTAAAAATTAATTTTCAGAGTAGAGTGTTGTGGCCATGCTCTGTGGTATAAAACCTTGGGGTTTCAACTGCATTCATTTTGGTTTTGACTGAAATTACTTCTTCAGCCTGCCTCTTTGCAGTGGTAGAGTGATTTTGTCTGTTCCAATCAGGGTTTTGATTACATTCCTGAGTCTTTGTGAGAAGATGTCAACCTTGTTTTCCATTGGGTTGTTTAACAACACAAGTTGGTTGGTGTTATTTGACAACATATAATAATTATTCTCCAGGTTTGTGCGAGAGATGATAACCTTGAGCTTTCTGCTTCCTAGTTCTTGTAATTGGATCATAAGAAATAATAATTTTGTGTGATTTACCATGGTAAATTCTTTAGAATTTAAGAAGTGTTTGCAAGATTAGAAGAATTTTAGAAATATTCTTCTCGACACCTAAGTTGTCTCCTTGCATTAGACCAGGCTGGCAGGTACCTGAAAAGCATTAGGAATTTCTCCATAGAGTTGCTTCAACTGAACTAGACTTTATGGTTAAACTGCTGGGCTACAATCAAGAGAAATATTTACTAGTATTATTGAAGCTATGAGTAAGGAATGTCTCACCAGACTTGTCTATGTGAAAATTCCCTGAAAATAGGGAAGTTTTGTTCTTTTATTTCATGCCACTGGGCCCAGTATCCAGCATATGGTAGGACCTCAGTGAATTTGATTGATTTGTTAACTACATTGCAAAGTGTCCATTTACAAGGCACAGTAGGTAGTACTTGGATGTCTCATTACCTGGGATGGCTACAGGTTTGCTTTTATCTAATCAATACTGTAAAACTTGTACCTGATAGTTTTCCTCTTTTATTTGGTTGTTGGAAGCTTAGTGCCAAAGATAGGCCATCTCTAGCAAGTAGAACCTGGTAGTATGCTTTTTGTGTTCTAACCTTACTCATAGTTTCTATTTATTTTTCGCTTTGCCTTGATTTTGTTTTTATTTACCTTTTTTTCTGAATTTTCTATACTTTTAAGCATCTCTCCAAATAATGTAGTAGAAAAGTTGAGGTATTAATAAATAAGAATTTCCAAATATTCAGCTTATATTCTGAATTAACATATGTTAAAAGCCTTCTATCTGACTTAATGGTTAGTTATGTAAAAACACTGGCTAGAGAATTTTTTTAAAGGTACATCATAAATATTTTATTTGCATTTTAAACATTCAAATGTGCAAATATTTCCAAATCTTTGTTATATGGCATCGTGGATCACCTTTTTTATATCCTGGTGAATTATATAATTTTCTGCTTAGAATGAGGACTTGAAAACACTAATTATACAACCTTATATTTTCATGACTTTTCATTCCCCTTATCTGTTATAGTTGTCCCACTCATATTTATTTTATATCCACTTTAAAGCCATTCCTCTTTATTAAATCTTTTTTAAGCATGCAAGTGTTTTCATAAACACACATTCTTTGTGTGCTCATATTTTAATTATTTATACATTTGATTAATATGAAGTACATAATTGAAGCAACAGGCAGACCAGTAAACTAGATTTGAGGACAAAAACAAATAGCTCAACTGGTTGAGACAGAAGTGCTTAGGCATGTTAGAGTGGCCCTCAGTCACTCTCACTGGCCTCTGCCACTAGATTTTGCTGAGGTCATAGAATGAGTGGGTCACTTAAGGAAAGGGTTAATAAAGAGAGCTTCTGTGGTGTGCATTGTCACTCTGAAACGTCAGCTTTGTTCAAGCTTGTATAAATGTTGTAGAATTAAGAAAAGATCCAGTTTAAATTATGTCTGTCATAATCTATTGGCTTACATACCTACACATAGGCCTTTACAGCACCTAGTGGCTTTCCTTGATTTAGGAGACCAGCAGATTTCTCTGACTATAGAGGAGCTTCTCTGAAGCTGGTGATTTCAGGGGAATGAAAAGAAAGAGGCAGATGAGATGGTGTCTCTTAAAGGGTTATTTCAAAGCAGATTTTTAGATGTATTTTACAAGTAAAGTGTGTGAATTGTCTGTGTTCTTGATAGGGTTCATTCTGATCTTTTTGTTTCTCCTCTTGACTTATGGGAGGGAGTGGAGTCATAGTACCCTGGTGAGACCTTGCTAGTGTGACACAGACCAGCTCCCTATCTTGTGCCATCTGGGGAATCAATGATTTATCATTTCTCTAATAGATTAAAATTTTTTCCTTGATTAACTTCACCATGAAGTTGACAAGAGTTGTTATCTGTTAATCAAAACAGTTTAAATAAAAAATAAAAAGAACAAACTTTGAGTTGTTTCTCATTCTCTGGCTCCTGGATTAGGAATTAGCTGATCCTTTTAGGCCTGGTTTGTGACATGAAGCTGTCAAGATGGCGTTTCCTGTTAATTACTTTTTATAGTATTTAAGACACTTAAATAACTCTTCTTGTGATTTAGTCTTCTGTGTAATTAGCTGCAGTGATTAAAATCTCGTTCTTTCGTTTTTGCCAGAGCCTTCTTGAAGAATGAGATTTTCTGGGGTGACCTTTCTCTGTGCTGGACTTCCCAATTACTTTGAGCTCCAATTTGGCAAATCCATATAATCTGTTAACTCGTTGCTCATGTCTTTCTGCATATCACATTTTCAAAGAAAACTGTTAGAGAATTGTTCACGTTTAGAAAGGGGCACCTACAAAATATAACTAGGATCAAGCCTCACACATACATGCTCGTTTTCACTACCACCCCACTCCTCATCCCTGGAAAATGGTCACATATGTATCCAGAAGATACAGTGTCACTAAGGCATATCCCCTTTATTTCCCATTATGTGAAGTATTTCACAGTGGTAGGAAATAATAGACATGGTCAATTTTGGAAAAGTTAAAGAACGAGAGGTGCAGAGATGGAACTATGGAATAGGAACAATTGGAAAGTGCCTGTTTTGCCGTTACAAGATCACATCTTCTTAGACAGGTGATTTGTTTTTTCTAACAGTGATAACTCTTTGTCTGGTTTTACTTTGCTGCTTCTCTGCATTGCCTCTCTTTCTTAGTCTGTCCATAGCCACTGCCACCTGCCTTGATTCCTGTAGGAGTATGGGACCTTGCTACTAGAAGTACTGTCCAAGTTCTGTGGGGCTTGGGACATCTTAAGTGATCTCCTTGCTCAATGATTAACATCCAGTCAATTCAAAGCCATCTTTATGATCTTCCTTTCTGTCTCTTTGGATTCTTCATTGATAGAGCTTAATTTTATTGTATTCATATGCACCAGATTACTCAACTAGCAAGGAATTACACTTTCTTTGCTTTTTCTTTTTCTTTGTTTCTAATTTGCAGGGATACTTTTTTTTACAAATTGTTCTATTAGTGACTGAAGCATTAGGTTAGGTCTTATCCTTACTTGGCACAAGGAATTACACTTTCTTTGCTTTTTCTTTTTCTTTGTTTCTAATTTGCAGGGATACTTTTTTTACAAATTGTTCTATTAGTGACTGAAGCATTAGGTTAGGTCTT